CTTCTCAATTTCTCTGCCCTTGTTTTTTAAATTGCTGCATTTAATTATATTATTTGTGTGTAAGTTATTTAAGTTACCCTTGTTAAAAATTAATGTCTCTGTGTAGAACAAAAAGTAAACAACTTTTAATGCTATCACAATGTAAGCAACAGAAACATTAAATTAATATTATTCATTGATTCACCCTCTAATCATAATTAGTTGTCAGTATATTAATAGAAATATTTGTTGTAAATGGAAAAAAAAACTCAGTCTAACTATGTAGGGGGAAAATAAAGGTAACTTTTAACAATTTCACTTAAACAAAAATGGGGATGGCAAAAAAAGTGGACTTTGAAAACATAAGTTAAATGATGCATTATATCAAAAGAAATGAAACATTAAATCTCAATTACCGCTATGTATTATATGGAATTCTTTTAACACTTCTCATCTTGTATCAAGAAAAGGGGAAATGTTTATCCATCATTCCTAAGTAAATTAACTGGAAGTACCACGTGATCCAGCAATCCCACTTTTTGGTATATATACAAAGTAAATGTCCCAATTATATCTAAGAAATATCTGTATTCTCATGTTTATTGCAGCATTATTTAAAATAACTAAGGTATAGAAGCAATGTAAGTCTTCAATGGATGACTGAATAAACAAAATGATATATATATGTATATATATATATATACACACACACAGATATATACATACATGCAGATATACATACAGAATACATATACAGATATATATATATTTCAATGAGTGTATCATATATAATAATCCAATGAGTTAATAATCCAGTATGTTATATATATTTTAAAAATAATTTTAATAGCAACTTTTAATAATTACTTTTAAATTATTTTTATTTTCAATTACAGTTGACATACGATATGATATTAGTTTACGTGTACAATGTTGTGATTAGGCATTTATATAATTTACCAAGTAATCATCCTGATAAATCTAGCACCCATATGGCACCATATAAATTTACAATATTATTGACTATATTTTTTATGCTATATTTTGCATCTCCACGACTATGTTGTACCTACTAACTTGTACATCCTAATTCCTTCAATATTTTCACCAATCCTCTCTACACCCCTCTCATTTGTAAAACATCAAAATGTTCTCTGTATCTATGAGTTTGCTTCTGTTTTATTTATTTGTTCATTTTGTTCTTAAGATTTTATAAGTAAGTGAAATCATATGGCATTTATCCTTCTCTGCCTGATCTACTCCATCATCACAATACCCTCCAGGATCATCTATGTCATAGCAGATAGCAAGATTTCATTTATTTTTCTAGCTATTATTCCATTATATATACTTACTACCTCTTTTTTATCCATTCATCCATTGATGGACACCCAAGTTGCCACCATATGTTTACCATGGTAAATAATGCTGCAATGAACATATGGATGCTTATGTCTTTTCAAAGTAGTGTTTTGGGTNATTTTAAGAAAGGAAAAAACTATTAAAATAGTAATACTCAATATATAACAATAACAAAAGATGAATACTAGTCACGTTTGACTTTTGCAATTACAAAAGGTGCTCATGGTGCTTACCATCAGCATACAGACACTTCTGAATACAGTGAACTACTGCTTGAGCAACATTGACCAAAGTGTCCACTTGTATACATTTTTGGCACCCCTAGAATGTAAATTTGTACCGCAAGCCCGTATCCCCCATTGTAATCTTTCTTTCAGAATATGCCATTACATTTTCAAGAAATACAATGTTTCATGAATTGTTGGTCAAAGGCTGCACCTTACCACGACTTCTGAATGAAATAGTCCTCAGCTTTCATATTAGAATACCGTACTCCACCTTCAACCTCTGATCCTCACTGATTAAAATATGTGAGCTTATTCCCTGCTGTCTCCCCACATCTCTGCAGCCAGCTGCACATCCTAGGACAGTTATATCCTGAGTCTATTTAATACTTTACCTTTGCAGTTGTCATTCTTGTCGTTCACTTGATGATCCTGAGAAGCATTTTGAAGGTTTGATTCCACAGAGGATATTTGCTGTTCGAACAGTAAAACGGAGCTTTCCGTGCCCTTGCCTTTTGGTTGCTGTCTCCTTGAGTCCTTAGCCAGATTCCGTTCTGAGTAGTTCTCTAGTTGGATATCCATGTCTGCAGCTGAGTAATGTCAGGTATGGTCCCTGTGATCACTTTACTTAAGTAGGTAAAAAATGGAGTGAATAATGGCAAGACTCCTAAGCTAGTCAACGTGGGTGGAGTGTGAGATAAATATCAGTGCTCATTTCGCAGTTGACCAATGTGAGGTCGTATTCTAATTTACTTAGAGCTTTATTAAGTGTTTCATAACAGAAGAATAGAGCTTAAAATGATATTCTATGTTTGACAAGATATTATTGGTTAAAGCAATGAAAAGTAATCAATTAGGAATAAAGAAGTTCATGAATAATAATATCTTTATTCATCTAAAGTCAGATACCACTGAAACATTTTAACACCATAAGAATAACTGTGTGCAAATTAAATTGTTGTATAGAAAAGGAAGTGATGCGCCAATACTTATGACAATTTTTAAATCCATTAATGGTTAAAGATTGAGTGTTCTAAAGTTGGGGCAATAGTAGTGCCAACATATATAGTAATTTCCTGCACTAACTTACTTTTGTTTAGTCACTTACATTCATGTATTAAAAGGGAAGATGAGGTATAATCAATGATATTGTATTTTTAACAACTGGAATACTCATACATCATTAAAATGTTAAAGAAATATTTTACATGTTGAAAAATGTTATATGACATTAAAGTTATCCAAAACTTAATAAATAATAAAAACAATACAACATAAAATGATTTTTAAAAATATTTATTTTACACAAGTAATTTGTAATTTATTTAATGGGTAAGATTTGAAACCAGAAATGATAAATAGATGTGTACATCATTTATGGAAGAGCAGTTTGGGTGCCAACTTCCAGAAAGATTATGGTTGTCAAAGTCAGTGAGAGAAGCTTTAGTTGTGTAAGCAAGTGTAATAAATCAGGAAACATAATATAATAATTTAGTCCAAGGGCTCTGCCTTCAGAGAGATCTAGAATAAATTCTGGCTTTCAAACTTACAACGTATGACCTTTAAAAGTTACCTAGTATCTAGCAACCAAGTTTACTATTCTAAAGGGGGAACAAATATATGTAAGATATAATGCAGGTAAAACAAAATAATCATATGTATAAACTCTCAGTAATATGTTACATACTTTAATTATGACTTTCATACATTTGCCATGTTACTATTTCTGATTCATATCAGTTAGACATTGTAACAGAATTCATTAGACAGGAGTCACTTTGGGATGTGTTTTTATGTTTTGTCCAATTTTTTAGTAGTCTTTTGATTTTTTATAATTAAGTTTAAATAAGGATTTTATGGATGCTACCTCATCCTGATTTTTATTGCAAGTCAAACTAATTTTATTTATTCAAAGTACACCTATGAGGCATTAAGTTTGACCTTCATGATATGATGAATTAATTTTAAGAATGTATTTTTTCATAGACTGACTAAATATAAAATAACATACAGACATAACTATATCTATGAATTACAAAATCCAAAGGTAACTAACTGTTCCTTGTCATGATGTGTATAGGATTTCACTTTAAGTCATATAGATTTATAAACCCAATTATGCATGTGTGTATGCTCATTAGTAATTTTCTACAAGCTAACAACTGAATATTTGAAGATATCCCCAAACATATTTCATATTTTATTCTTCTTTTTACTCTGAATTGNCTTATGAATGTGACCTTATTTGAAAATAGAGTCTTTGCAAATGTAATCAAGTTAATATGTGGTTATGCTGATGTCAGGTGGGCCCTTCATTCATGTAACTGCCATTTTATAAGAAAATATTTGGACGCAAAGACAGAGATACACAGAGAGAGCAATGAGATGACAGGGCATTGCTTGGAGTAATATGTTTGTCAGCCAAGGAATGCCAAGGCCTGGGGGCTCCACCGAAAGCTCAGAGAAAGGCATGGAACCTCGTCTCCCCTAGAGCCTTCCAAGTGAGGACAGCCCTGTGGACACCTTCATTTCAGACTCCTGGCCTCCAGGCTGTGATAGAATATTTTTGTTTATACCAGAAAAAAATTGAAATATATAACATGTTCGAAGGTAAAAAACTGTTGTATGAAAGCATTTAAAACAGAGTAAGTGGAATTGGGTTCCGTTTGTGAGAGGGAACTGCAGTTCCACTGGGGTTCATTGGGAATGTAGTGTTTGGACAAAATCAGGAATTTGGTGACAGAACTAGGATTGCAGAAAAATAGAGAAGCCCATTTGAAATTGAGCAAACAACTGATAAAGTTTCCTTTTGAAGAAGCATGTCTGAATATTTGAGGATCAGCAAGGAGGCTGACATAGCTGGAGCAGATGAGTGAAGGGAACAGCGTTAGATCATGCGTTCTCAACAGAGGTGATGTCAATGACAATAGGACCAAATCTGATTTTTGAAGGTATTAAAAAAAATCCTACTTTATGTATGGAGTACAGATATACATAAAGCACAGAATGAAAAATGTAATATATTTGTGGTTTTGAGTCTTCATGGAGATGGATTAAGAAAGCATCTCTGTGAAAGCTCCTTAGTGGCTTAAGGTTGAGGGAGAAAATGAAAAAAACTAAAAAATGGTTGAGAAACATTGTATTAGAGGAGAAGAATCAAGAGGTAACAGGGATCAGTCATCCAGGCTTTGTAAGGCTCCAGCTTCTTCATCGTGAAGCATGGAGAGCCACTCCTAGATTTTAAAAGAAAAGGACTTGCATGAGTTCTTTACATATTTTAGATATTAGCCCAAACCAATCTCAGGTATTGTTTGCAAATATCTTCTCCCATTCTTTTGGTTGCCTCTTTGTTCTGCTGATGGTGTCTTTTGCTGTGCAGAAGATTTTTAGTTAGATATTTAGTAGGATCTCATTTATTTTTGCTTTTATTTCCCTTGACTTTTGGGTGAAATTCATAAAATTCTCCCTGAATCCAAGACCCACAAGTTTAGCACCTATGCTTTCGTCTATGCAATTTATTGTTTTAGAGTCTTATTTTTAGATCTTTGATCCATTTTGTGTTAGTTCTGTTGTATGCTGACAGATAGCAGTCTAGTTTCATTTTTTTGCACGTGGCTTTCCAATTTTCACAGCACCATTTTTTTGAAATGTTTTATTTTCTACCTTGTATGTTTTTGGCTCTTTTGTCAAAAATTATCTGCCCACACATATTTGGATTTATTTCTGGGTTCTCAATTCTATTCCATTGGCCTGTGTATCTGTTTTTCTGTCTAATCCATGTTGTTTTGATTACTGTCACTTTGTAGCATAAATTGAAGTCAAGTAGTGTGATGCTTGAAGCCTTGTTGTTTTTTTTAGGATTGCTTTATCTATTGAGGCTCTTTTGTGATTCCATACAAATCTGATGATTATTTGTTCTAATTCTTTAAAAATTTTCATTGCATAGACATTTCTCTAAAGAGGGCATACAGATAGCCAAAAGACATATGAAAAAATGCTCAACATCACCAATCACCAGAGAAATGCAAATAAAAACCACAATGAGATATCACCTCACACCACTTAGAATGGCTATCATCAACAAGACAAATAATAACAAGTGTTGGAGAGGCTGTGGAGAAAAAGGAACCCTCATACACTGTTGGTG